ATGTTTCAGATTAAATTGGCTGTAAGCGCCACGTTTTCACTGATTCTGTGACTCGAGCTTTACATTTTACTGAGCCAACACAAGGAGTCTAATGTCAATAGTTTCCAGAGCAGTTTCAGGAGTTTAGTCGACTTTAATCCAGGGAGCTGACGAGGAAATGTGCTCACACAAAGACAGAGTTTTAGTTTTAATGTTGTTTTGAAGAAAATGTAGGAAACGTCAAGTTTTTAGCAGCAAAGTTTTAGTTTAGACTTTTTTCTTTAGAGGAAGAAAAATAATGTGGGGCTGAGCTGCAGCTTGATGAGAAGCTCGGGCCTGAATGACTCTGACAGCGTTTCCTCTTTTCCATCTCCATCACACACTCATCCATCCATCCATCCACCCACCGAGCCCTCCATCCATCCATCTCTCCGTCTGTCATTCATAGTCACCACTTCCGCCTCACCTCCTCCTTCTCTTCCCTCCGTCTCCTCAGGAGCACCGTGACCACTCCCCTTCCATCTCCACCTTCTACCTCCCAGTCGATGAGGAACCCCAAGACTCGCAGTCCTCAGAGAGTGCTGAGCCTCGCTCTGGACACGCGCCATCGGGACAACTTCCTGGGCCTCCTCCCCTGGAGGCTGAGCGGCGTCCAGTCCGTGATGGTGCCCCTTCCCCCAGCGCGCTCCCGCCTGTCGCTGCAGGAGACGCTGCAGCCTTCAAAGTGAAAGAGGAGGACAAGCCGGCATGGGGAAGCCCCAGCGGCGTCTCCAGGTCCCAGCGCCTCCTGGCTGAGGATCAAGATGTGCACATAACCCTGATCTGACAAACTCTAATGGACACACACACACACACTTGTGCACGCTGTCAGACTCTGCGTGTCCTGCTGAACCTCCTGGGACCAGTTCTTTGTTTTGTTTTTTTGGGATGGGACCTTCCTCCGCTGTTTTCCCTTCTCCTTGTCTTCCCTTGTGTCCTACAGTCTGTCACTCCAGGCAAACGACAAACACGGCTTGCTGCTACAGCGGCGCCACGAGTCTCACTTCCTGTGATGCACCAAAGTTTGTGTGTTTGCTTCCAGCAGCATGGAAGGCTGACTGAGAGACTGACTAATCCCACATGTCGGTGTTTTTCATTTTAAACTCGCGTATAGAAGCTCAAGGTCCAGATTCACTGAGCAGAGGTCCCTGAGCGGCCAGCTTTCATGAGCAGCTTTCCAGAGGTCACGCTTACTGAATATTTCCCGTCGTCAGTGATGGAAAAATGTGTCATTTTTATAGATTAGAAAAGATGCCGGTCTGTCTCTTTCATAAGACAGCATTAAACACAAGTCACCCAGCAGGGTGATGCAGGCATCTGTGTCCGCCACAGGTGATCCCGCTGCAGGGAAAGTCCCGCATTGAGAAACTTTGGGTGGCTTCTGATCCCTGAAACGCAGAGGGACGGCCTTCAGAATAAAATAATAGCTGTTTGTCTGAAGGAAAATAGAGGAAATACGCCTCTGCAGAAGCCTCCCCTGATAGATTTGATTAGGCTTCCAGCTTCAGTTCATTTAGTTCATATTTGGTCACCGCGACTACAGTGCTTTAGAGCCTCTGCGATGAAAGACAATCATCTGCTTCATGTTTGCTTTGGAAGATTTAAAGCTCTTTAATGAAGCAGACATTCCCAAAGTGAAGAGTGCTGCAGCCCGTTTAAAGACAGGAAACTCACATGGAGCACGCCCAATCTTAAATCTTCACCAAAAATCTAAATACAAGTGATGTATTTGCTTAAAAATTATATAAAAAAAAAAATACAAAAATCAAATTGGGTCCAATGTGTGAAACTTCAGCACCGAGCAGTAAATTCAGGTCAGAGGAATGAGTGATATCACTAACTGACCATGTCATTAGCAATTTTAAATCACTTGTTATATAAAAAAAATACGTTTATATTAATATGTAACTGTACATACTGTAGTACCTCTGGAGTCCACCAGGGGGCGCACACTTTCGGGATGACTGTAATAAAGAATTCAAATAACCGGTAAAATTAGGCTATGATGGAACTTCCGTTTGTCAAGTGTATCGTGACCTCTGTTTGCAGCGTTTCCACCTCCTTTTTTTAAGCACTTATTTAACCAAAGAAGTTTATTTGAAAGTTGCAGTCAGTGGAGGTTTATTTCCGTTTCTCATTACCGTCCTTCGAGAACACTGCTAACGTCTGCGAGGTTACTTCTCCTTCTTTCCAGCATGCTAACTGGTATCTCCAAACCAGCAAGCTCAGCAAGCTTTTTTATTTGTCTCTCAGCACCAGCACGTTACCAGTTAGCTTGCTAAGTAGCCGCTCCAAACATCAGCAAGAGTCCAGCGCAGCTTTGAAAGAAAGAAAAGCGTCTCTCTGGCCTGTTTTAAGCGAGCGAAGCCTGATCAAGGAGGTGAAAAATCTAAGATGGGCTTCAACAGAAAGCTTCTGCTGTCCTTTGTTTTTATCCAAGGTCAAGTCCTTCTCCTGGCTCTGTTGGAGGCCTCCAGCTGTTCAAAAACGAGTTTCTCTCCGTTTATTTGCTTGTTGGGGATTGTCTGATCGTCTGGGCTTTATCTTAAAACGCCTTGAGATGGCTTGATGTGAATCGGTGCCTCTTACTTTGATTCCTGTTCATGTTATCTGATCCTCAGACTTGCACATGAGCCTAAAATTACTAAATAAACCCTGAAGCACCCGAGGCTTCGTCGACTTTTGTGCGTCCACAGTTTTAGTCTTCAGACGTTTACGCCTCTGAATCCTGCGGTTGGGAATCTTTGTTCTGGCTGTTGAAACTGCAGCAGCTGTGATTAGTGAGATCGCACAGCGCTCTGTATCTCAGCTCTGTCCAGTTTCAGCAGTGAATTTAATTTCTTATTAATAAAGCCAATCCTCGCCGAAACCTTCCATCTGCGGTCCAGTTGCTGCTTTGCCACATTTCCAGATTTATGATATTTTTTTAAAATCCAAAAGAGAAAATGAGTCTGGATGAAGCTGTGTTCAGACTGCAAGTGTGACTGTTGCTTCTGTCCTCTCGCCTCATTCGCGCCGCTGTACTGCTTTCTAACTGATGACCTATTTGTTTCTGTCTTTTGCTGTAAGATGTGGGGACGTGAAACCAAACTGGACGTGTAAACGAGACTCTAAAGCTCAGCGGCAGGTTTCCGTTCCTCTCGGCGTCCGGCTGCGAGCTCTGGTTGTGGGTGTTTCTTTTTCTTCGGTTTCGATGTGCTTTTAGTTTTTATGATAATATTATTTACAGTGATGAAAAATCGAAACATATATGTTGTTTACTGAGTTTTTTAAACACGTGTGCACGAGTGCACGCACACGGCCCTCCTTCCTGTTGTTCCCCATTCACCATCAGCTGGTTTAAGTGCCTGCCTTGTTCTTACTAAGAAAAATGATATAACGATGAGCTCTTTTGACCCTTTTTAGTGTGAACATGATTCTAAAAACATGTGCTCTATTTATTAAAAGAAATTTGGAATAATTTGAACTGGCTTCATGCGTCTGCTTTACTTTACTTTTATGGACTGCACACTAATTATTACACAGACAACATTTCTGGCACTTTTGCCAAAGTTGAGAAGGAAATTTAACAAAACAAACAGGAAGCAGGAAGCTGAAGAGACGATCCAATGAAGACAGAAGGAACAAAATAAAACACATGAAAATGATCAAGCTTCAGAGGGCTGAATTCAAAGAAACCCTGAAAAAGTGATGCAGGAGGTCAGTTTTTCTGAAATGTCATTGCAGCGACAGAAAATGGTCCTGCCCCGATGTGCTGGAAGCATGTCTGAGAACATGGGGGTGTACTCCTACTGTGTGGGGCTCAGTCAGTGGCAGTGATTGCTTCATCCTCTAGGATCTACCTGCATACTCTCAGCACGTGACTTGGCCAGAGAGGAGGAACCCAGCACTCACCGCACCAGCGTGGGGTCTGGATTTCATCCTGACACCTGATGGTAGTCAGGGTGCCGTTAGAGGTCTGTACGTCATCGAGCTGAACGATGTTACAGCATAATCTTCTCCATGGCTTCTCCAGACCCTTTCATGTCTCACATGTGCTCGGGGTGAACCTGCTCTCATCTGTGAAAAGTGCAGGGCAACAGCTGATGTTCTACCGGCCTCACGGTGCCGGGCAGTGAGCACGGAGACCACTGGAGGGTGTCGAGCCCTCAGGCCATGAATTTTCTTTCTGATGGTTTGGTCAGAGATGTATACACAACAGTGGCCTGCTGGAGGTCATTTTGTAGCTCTGGCACAAAGGAGCAGATGATCCTGATGATGGGTTAATGGCCTTCTGTGGCCCTGTGCAGCTCTCCTGAAGTCACTGACTTTAAGACTGTGCCGAGAGACACAGCGAACCTTCTGGCTGTTGGACTACCTGTGCAACCGACCAGATCAATATCCCAGGAGTTTCACTGACTTGATTCTATAATCCAAATTGTTGCTTTCATTTTTTGTGCAGTATATAATGCGAAAACTAAACTTCAAAGTAAAACAGGAAGTTACTTTAGGACAAATAACAGGGCAAAGTTTAGTCCTGCTGGAGCCACTGAGGTTTACACCGACGTGCAGGCTGATTTCACAAGACCTTAAAAAGTAAAAGCTGCTTTTGATTTTAGACTTTAGCTTCTGAATTTTATCATGAATTCAATATTTTATGACATTTCTGCACCTTTTGGAGTCATATGAGAACCAGTCATTTAAAGAAGTATTCAAACAGGAAGTATCATTTTCTACAGGACTACAAAAAAATAAAACACCTGCCTAATGTTTGTGCGGGACCTGCATGTGCCTGTGCATGGAGGTGAAACCACAGGGATGTGCTGTGCTGGCTGAGACTGGGGAATGACAGCAGATCCTGAGGGGTCAAAGTTTGCACTTCTGCTCCTCGAGTGACTGATCTTTTGTATCAGAGAAAGATCAGAGAAATAGCCGTGCATGTGCAAGTGTGTCCACTAGGTGTCACTGAGCTGTATGTTGTAAACCTCCTCACACGCGTAGGTGCCTCCCTTTAGGCACTTTGTCCTGACTTACAGTTGGAAGAAGCCTCCATTCTTCATGCAGTGGTCTCATCGGGTGGAGGCTCTCCAAACGAACTCTTGTGAGGTGCTCGCTGGTCATTAGGTCATGATTTCCTGAGCATCAGTCCCTTAGCACCGTGAAGAGTTACATAAGATGTGTGATTAATCTGAGCGGACGCTCGATGCAGAGAGCACGTCCCCCATTGGCTCGCTCAGACTTCTGACTGCAGTAATGAATCTAAGTTGGACTGCTCTCTGAGGGGTGGGGGGCCTGACTGCATAACTGTGGGGAAGGATAAAGCAGCTCCATACAAATCTGTATCACATAAAAACTCTGCCTAATAGTGTTGACCTTGTTTCACCAGCTCAGCTATGAGCCATCAGGGAGTGTCTGTGTTCCTGTGCATGCTGAGGATGTTCAAGTTCTTGCAGACTTTAATCTGTTTGTAGTCTGGCGAGTTTCTCGGTTTCTTTTTATGTCACGTTTCATGGC